CCACCGCCACCGCCACCGCCACCGCCACCGCCACCGCCACCGCCACCGCCACCACCACCATCTGATCGGTACATCAATGAAGAACAGATTCTGTCGCAAAACCTGTGGAGCGTGTAAGTACTGAACAAACTGCCCATGCCTTTTTCTCTTGTAAAGTATTATTAAAACAAATAAACTCCTATTTCAACTACTTCTCTTCCTTTAGCCTGTAATAATAACATTGTAATATGCTAAGACTAAATACGGAGTGTTGTATCATTCGGAATTAGATAATTTATATTGCGTAAACGTATCAATATCAAAATTTTCAAATGCGCAAATTTTCAAAATCAGTTTTCAATTTTTTTCCTGCAGGCTCATGATGAACACTATGATATGCCACTAAACGGTTCTGACCTAAATTAAGAAAAGCAGTAATGTAAAAGTTTTCCTCTTTCAATTAATAAACTATGAATTGTTGTCTTTGTTGTTTGTCAGTGATATCATTTTAAAGTTTTTATCACTCTACAGAATTTTTCATTAAAAAACCCCATCTTTTTCATAAAAATTTAAAAATTTATTTCGCTTCAATAAACAAGAATAATTCTATCTAGGTTTTCCTGCAAAAATCTTTGGAATTTGTATTCTCAGATCTAGGTAATTTTTCGATCAAAAGCTTGTTAATATTATGAGTTGAATTATTCTGCTTTAAGCTTGGTATATAACCTTTTGTTTTAATGTAAATAACTGTCTATGTAATGTTTAATAAACGAGCAGGAGTGTTTTATCGGGTATAAAACACGAGGCGCAGCCGAGTGGTTTTAGACCCGATAAAACACTCCTGCTCGTTTATTAAACATTACGTAAAAACAATTTATATAAACTGTCAGCAAAAGTAATGAAAGTAATTGAGAAAAACATTTATGTCATTGAAGCGTCTCAATTGACATATATATTACAAGCTTCACAATAGAGTTGGTTGTTTTATGAATAGTAAGATTAATGCACTCAATAAAAACCCTTACAATTATTATTACTTAAAAGATGAGAATGATGATTTATAGAATAGTAAAGTGTATCACCAATGAGACCATTTTAAAACTTTATTTCTTAACGAGAAAAGGTGATTATTAAGTGAATGTTAGAGTTAAATCTAATTTAAAAAGACACTAGAGTAAGAAATAATAATAATTAAAAAAAACGCCAACATACTAAAAGCTTTGATTGAAGTTGAACTATTAGTGAATGTTTGACTTCAATAAATCATCCAGAATTTGGTTTAAAAGACACTTCACTCTTTCAGATTAAACATTTCATTTCTGAGGGCGGTTCCGTTTTTTAGCTATCCATTTTGGTTGGAAGCGTACAAACATGTATCTAACGTACAATTTTGCTGTTCTTGTTGTAATCTTTGGTTATACACATTCCTTGGATGTAGAATGTTCTAGTTACACTGTGTTGAACTCAAGTAGTCGTGCTCAAGGAGTACCCAGAGGTAACATAACAAAGTGCGACGATACTCTCATCCCAGAATGGTACCGCTTCATGGGAGATGCTGGGACTGCTATGCCGACATCTTGCACCCGTAAAAACTACTGCGGTACTGACGCCTCTGGGTGGATGCAAGGTTCTCACCCCACCCAAACAGAGGGTATCGTGACTCGTAGAGTGTGCTATCATTGGAATAGTAACTGCTGTAACTGGAACAACAATATTCGTGTCAGAAACTGTGGAGGGTTCTACGTGTACGAGCTTGTCAGACCTCCAAACTGCCACCTTCGTTACTGTGGCAACGGGACAGGTATGTAATAATTTGGTGCTTAATCGTCTCTAGCCTTAAGAATGCAACAACGCTCTCGGACTTTCAAAAAGGTTAACATCGGGACAGGTTCGGCAGAATATCTGCATAAACACAATGGCAGTGTCGTTATGAAAATATTCTCCCGATTGTAACCGTGGGAACGACCGAGAGCGTTCTTGTCGACCAATATTGAATCAATAGAGTGTTTGCAACCACATGACTCAAAATCCCTTGAGATATGGATAATAATGAAACAGCCGCCATCTTGGTTGATCTAACAAGAGAAGCTAATTAGGAATGTCTGGTTATCGTCAACCAAGATGGTGGCTATGATGGTGGCTATGTAACATTCACACGCTCTATTCAAGTAATTAATCTCTAAGGGGAATGAGCTCTTTAGGTACACCTCACTTTAAAAAACGTTTTCTTCAAAGTTTGGATAGGAAAAGCTGTAGAAGTTTCACTACAACGTAGATGAAACTCTGGTCTATTGATGTAGAAAGTTTGAAGAAAAAACTTGGAGCCGTTTTAAAAGAAAACGGCCAAAATGTGATTTTTAGCAAAACTCTCATATATGAGGTCTTCAACGACCATTAGTAAATAGCGATAAGATTCTCAGAAAATTCAATAAAATATTACCTGGGGATAAGGAGAAAAAAAGGCCAAAAACTAAAAATATCACTGATGCTATTTTTCAGTAATTGGAGAAATATGGCTTCTCTTTCAAAGCTTCTAGGGTGATCAATTTCCACTCGCGATCTTATGGCATTTTTTAGTTCACTTCTAGTATAATGTATTTTAATGTAGGCTTCCTGACCCGGGCGCGATCGAACAGGCCAGCAAATAAATATATGGTCGATACTCCTTCCATTCGTGAGGAAGCTGTCCTAGCAGCAAAAAACGAACGGTTTTCAATGAACTTCATGGGCAATACTGAGCTTGTCTTGGTTATAAACTATTCATGATTCATCTACTCGAGCAGTATTTTCTGCACTAACAAGCGAAAATCCAAGGAGAACAGGGTTTCAAGAGTCAGAATTACGATAAGCGATAGTATAAACAAATACATTCAGCGTGACTCGTTATTCTCTTGAACTAGACAATATAGATATTCTTCTAGTTATAATCAAAATTTAAAATAACTCTGAAAATGGGATTTTTTGTCCAGGTACGTCCTCAAAAATTCAAAATTCGTTCAATGAGGGCCCGATACCATGGTTGGAAAGCTGTGATGCTTTCAATTACATACTCTTTTAAGAACTTGTTTTGTTTGTTGTTGTGTCAGGTGCGCGCATTCAAGGGGGAGGGTCCTCAGGTCGATTACAAGTTCTTCATAATGGAGAATGGGGTACAGTGTGTGATGATATCTGGTCCATGACCAACACCCACGTGGTTTGCCGTCAGCTTGGCTTTGCTGGTGCCCTTTCTTATCATAACAGTGGAGGAGTAACAGGACAGATATGGCTTGATGATGTACGATGTTCTGGCAACGAGAGTGCTATTCAACAGTGTAGACATAATGGGTGGGGGAGGCACGACTGTAGTCATCATGAAGACGTCTTTGTAACCTGCTATCGTGATGGTAATTCCATGTATTGCTAGAATATAAATAATAATCTCGTTGGGTGATATTTGCAATGATCTCAGTGGTCCACTTTAAGGTTAACGACAAAAATCTCGATATGACTGTAAAATGATGGTTTTTTTTCATTTCAAACCTTTAAGTGGTTTTAATATATTCGTTGTTTGCTGCATCCAATAAAAACAGCAGCCACAGCATCGACAACCAGAGCAATAAGAACGCTTATTGCAAATATACGGTTTTTTTCTAATGACTTACGACTTGTTGAAAAATATATTTGTAATGAGCGTTTTTTTTTTCGTTTTTTTTCTAATCGTTTGTTATTCTATTTTTCATACAGTATCAGCAACAGCAGTAGCACCAACAACAGCATCACTAACAGCAGTAGCACCAGCAACAGCATCAGCAACAGCAGTAGCACCAACAACAGCACCACCAACAGCAGTAGCACCAACAACAGCATCAGAAACAGCAGTAGCACCAACAACAGCACCAGTAACAGCAGTAGCACCAACAACAGCATCAGCAGGAGTAGCAAACACAACAACAACAGCTGCATTATCAGGTTTGGTTTACGAGTAACGATGCTTAATTCAGAAAGATATAGTTGTACTGAACACTCTTCGATTCGTAATCATCGTGTACTATTCTTATTGCTCGATCGAGGGTGGTGTAGCAGAAATATACGCTCGCCTCTCACCTCTGGGATCTTGGGCTCGATTCGAAGTTAAGGTTTTGCTCTGCGAGGGTTTTCGAGTTTTGCTACCTCTGCAAAGCCTAACAAGCTAATTCCAATTTGACCTGTAAGTTAAACCGGTGGGGGGGGGG